GGGTGGCACAGAGCTGGGGCATGGGCCAGGGGGCCTCTGGCATGTGGCCGATGGGTGAGTCCCTGGCCTCAGGGTGCAGCGGCGCTGGTGGTGGCCACAGAGGGGTGGGGAGAGAGAGGAGTCTGCAGATCTCAGGAACTACGTGACACTTTCACACTCCTGATTCCACTTACCCTGCCTGTCGGCAGACAGCCTATTTTTGTAGGTGTTTTCTCCTCTCCTGAGAATCATGAGGTCTCAGTGTTACCGACTGTCTCACCACCTGCCCCGGGAGAGATGTTGTTAATCAAGCGTGTGCCCCCCTCGGGGCCGCTCAGGCCCCCTCTGATCTGAGAGCCCAGAAAGAGCCCGCTGAATGTCGTGGCCCTGGTCCTGCCCCCGCCCCCCACCCAGGACGTGACAAACCTGCCCACACCATGGACCTTGGACGCAGTGTTCACCTGTCGCTGGTGAAATGATAACTATGTGGGCAGAATGGCGAGGTGCTCACTGAGTTAAATTTGTTCCATTTAAAGGTTTTATCCTTTTATCCTAAAATGATGACCTTCATATCTCTTTGGTGTTAAAATATCCATTCTACATGATCAATTTTTTAAGTGAACGTACTTGGGGAAGTGGAAAGTTGGCAGATGAATGATTCCCATTTGTTTTTAATTTGCTGGTGTGTGCACACTGAGCATTTCAGAAGGATTACTCTCGGGAGTGAGGTGCAAGCACTGGTCCCCTCACTCTGATGAAGCCAGGACTCTCACCCAGAATTGCATGAACTCCACGAGTTCCTACTGGGAGGTGGGAGTCCAGGGTCTGTCCCAGTTCTGTTGCTGCAATGCTGTGTGACCATGAGGGAGGCACCTGCCTTCTCTGAACCTGTTTTCCCTCACCTCTAAAGCACAGCTAATAATCCATGCCCATCTCCCCTTAGCATGAGATGAGGGCAATACCTGTTTATTGTTCACATCTCAGGAAGCCAAAGGCCTGTGAGCAGGTGGGTCCTCCTCGGCCCAGTTCTCCATCCTTCTGCCATCTGTCCCTCTCATCCCATGCTCATGGACTCTGAGGCCAGGCAGTCCTTAGCAACATCCTCAGTGACTGTCTAATCATCCCAAATATGTCTGGCAGGGCCAAATGGGCAGTCTTTTTGTGCGTTTGTGCTGCTATAACAAAGTACCTGAGACTGGGTAGTTTATAAGGAACAGAAACCCATGCTCACAGTTCTGGAGGCTGGAAGTCGAAGATCAAGGCACCGGCAGGTCCAGCATCTGGTGAGGGTTCCTTTCCTTGCTTCCAAGAATGCACCCTGTTGCCGCATCTTCTGGAAGGGATAAACACTGTGCCCTCACATGGCGGAACACGGAAGGTCAAAAGGGCCTAAGCCAGCTTCCTTCCACCCTTCTATAAGGCACCAATCCATTCATGAGGGCAGAGCCCTCAAGACTTAACCACTTCCCAAAAGGGCCCCATTTCTTGATGCCACCACCATGGGGACTGAGTTTCAGCATGAATTTTGGAGGGACGGGGGACACATTCAAACCACAGCAGGTAGGGGAGAAGAAAGAGATGGACGAAGAGAGAAAGAGGAGAAAAAAGTGCACAGGGTGGGGGAGGAGGGGCAGCAGGCTCTGAGGACCCTGCTATGGGTCCATGTCCTCCTGGAAGACATCCCTGAGTTCCACGCTCAGAGGTGCTTCTCCCCTCCACCGGCCTCCCTCCCCACCTTGTGAGACTGAGGGCAGGACATCCAGCCGTAATTCATGTTTGTGCTCCCAGCCCCTACACTTGGGAATCATAGTAAACACTCCGTAACTGATTGTTGGACTGAACTGCAAATTTCTCTTGCTCCTCTTACCAAACTCTAAGGTCCTTAAGGATATGGGCTCTGTTTTATCCCTATAGGCTGCGGTCCCCAACCCCCAGGCCACAGCCCAGTTACTGTTCCATGACCAGTTAGGGTCTTCTGTGAAACTGATCCCTGGTGCCAAAATAGTTGGGGACCGCTGCCTATATGTATTCATTTTTGGAGGATGTAACAGTCAGGATAAACTAGGTTATGCTGCTATAACGAATGCTCTGTGGCTTAACACAACAAAGGTTTATTTCTTCCTTGTGTTCCTGTCCCCTGGGGTCTCTCCTCTTGGGACCCAGGTGGCTAAGGCAGCCTCTGTCTGGAACACTACTATTCACTGTGAGAAAGGGGAAAAGAGCCCTGCAGTGTCGTGCACTGATACCTAAATGCTTCCACCCAGAAGCTATGCATTTACTTCCACTCACGTCTGCTTAGGCAAAACAAGTCACATGGCCACACCAAACTTTAGGGCACCCAGAATGTAAGACCTGGAACAATGGGCCAGTCACAGTTTTGGCTGCCATTAGAGGCAGCAATGAGGAGTGACAGACAAATGCGGGCTTTGATGATGGACAAACTTGGACTTGACCGTGGGCATTCCCTTCACTTCTCTGAGCCTTGGTTATCACATCTGTAAAATAAATTTTCAGGAAATATCAAAGGATTATTGTAAAGACAAAAAATAATATATTTGAAGTGCCTAGAAATGAGTACATCCTCAAAAAATGTTTATTGTAAGCTCTTGTTAACCTGGCACTAGCACAGAAATAGTGTGGGGCTCAATTTCTAAATCAATTGTGAATTGATTTAGAAAGTTCCAGAGAGGTGAATGATGATGCGTGACGAGATAGGATCATTAGCAACATCATTTTGAAACCATAACCTTAAAAGTGAACCCCAGCAGGGTGAGTAGCCCCCATTCTCCTTATTTTATGGGAATGCAGATTAGCTCAATGCAGTTTCACGTCTTGCCTAAAACCACAGCAAATAATCCATGTAAACAACATTTGAAGCGATAGCTATAGTTTACTGAGCATTTACTATGCTCCAGGCAGTGTTCCAAGAACAAACTTCAGCCCACAGATCAAACTCAGCCCGGCACCTGTCTTTGTAGGTAAAGTTTTATTGGAACACAGACACCCCCATTTGGTGTATTGTCTATGTCTACTTTGTGCTACGACAGAGGAGTCCTGTAGTTGCAACAGAAGCCATAGCTGTACAAGGCCCAAAATATTTACTCTCTGCCAATCCTGTTCTAAGCAGTTTAAAACTATTCTAAGCAGGTGCATAGCTACTAGTAATGATTTCAGCATGAGATCATGGAAAAGGGAGCCCAACACGGTCAGGGCCATTGGGAAGCCACAGCGTGATCTCTAGGGAGATCCATTCTTAGAATCACGTGTTGGTTACACTTCACAGGCTGGAGGGAACTGGGTTAGTAAGCCCTTAAAAATGTCAAATGACTCCCACCACTCCCTAAACGTCAGCAGATTATTACCCTGTTTCCTCCACCATTTCCCCGGTGCCGCCAGTCACTGGCCACCTTGCTGTGGAGCCCGTGTCCTCCTCCTTCTGTTTCTCTGCAGCGGCTCCAACGCCGCCCTTGCCTACTTTGTCTGCCGAGATAGGTCAGGCCCGTCACAAAACAAATGGCACAAAGGTTCTCCAGAGAACACACAAGTTGCAAGCACAGTCATACCAGAGCAGTGAGGCCGAACTCTTGTCAGCTGAGAGCATTCACAGACTCATTGAGAATCTACTGCATGTTTAAGAAACTATATCGGCCGGGCACAGTGGCTCATGCCTGTAATCCTAGCACTCTGGGAGGCCGAGGCGGGCGGATAGCTCAAGGTCAGGAGTTCGAAACCAGCCTGAGCAGAGCGAGACCCGTCTCTACTATAAATAGAAAGAAACTAATTGGCCAACTAATATATATAGAAAAAATTAGCCGGACATGGTGGCGCATGCCTGTAGTCCCAGCTACTCGGGAGGCTGAGGCAGAAGGATCACTTGAGCCCAGGAGTGTGAGGTTGCTGTGAGCTAGGCTGACGCCACGGCACTCACTCTAGCGTGGGCAACAAAACGAGACTCTGTCAAGGAAGGAAGGAAGGAAGGAAGGAAGGAAGGAAGAAGGAAGGAAGGAAGAAGGAAGGAAGGAAGGAAGGAAGGAGGAAGGAGGAAGGAAGGAAGGAAGGAAGGAAGGAAGGACTATTTCAGGCCAATCGCATTATAATAAATCACACTGTAACAGATGGATTTGATCGAGTTTGTGTGCATGTATTTTCAATCTAGTTCACACTAAACCCTATGAGATTAGTACCAGTGTTAGCATCCCCATTTCGCAGGTAAGGAAACCGAGGCAGGGGAGGTGACCAGCTCGTCCCCAGGTCTCAGAGTAACGAGAGAGGCCAGGATTCAAGTCCCAGCTTCTGTCTGGTAGCCGTGCGCTGAACTCTTCCCCCACTGATGCCGACAAGGACGACTGTTTTTAATTTCATTGCATAATCGGGCAGATTCATCACTCTGCTGTTTCCTAGTAAACTCATCTCCTGACACCTGGGTAACGGGTGGTTTATCCCCGAAGTGTTTGCCCGGACCAGCCATACCTAAAGTTGCCATAATCTATGCGTGTCTTGGCTACATTAATGGCAATTGCTTGACTAGCCAAACGGGTAAGTCCTGGTCTAGGGGTGAAGCAACCAGCGCTCTGGCTGAGCTCTACCTTGAATCAGCTGTGTGTCCTTGGACAAGTTCCTTGCCCTCTCTGGGGCGAGAAGGATGTTTAAATACACCTCCAAAAGGTCCTTTCCACATAATACAGTACAGAGAGTAAGAGTAGGGCCTCTGGAGGCCACTGGATATGCTAGCGGAAAAAGAAAAAAATAAATAAAAATAAGGAAAAAATATATTTAAAAAATAAAAAAGTGGGGCCTCTGGGGACAGAGACCAGAATTCGATTCTCAGCCTTACCCCACCCGGAAGGCCTTCACCTCAGACACCCTGCACTCCTCTGAGTCTCAGCTCCCCCAGCGGTGGCCAGAGATCCTGGTGCCACCCGCGCCCGGCTGCAGCAAGCGAGGGCAGGTAAGCAGGCTGCTCATAAACTGAGAAGCTGTGTGCCAACGCGTAACCACCGCCGCGCCCGCCGCCCTCTCCCCCTTGTTTCCCAGGCTCTCTGCACGCGATGTCCGCGGCTCCTGCCAGCAACGGGGTGTTTGTCGTCATCCCGCCCGGCAGTGCCAGCGGCCTCCACCCCCCTCCAGCCATTCTGCCCACCTCCATGTGCCAGCCCCCGGGGATCATGCAGTTCGAGGAGCCACCACTGGGGACACAGACGCCAAGGGCCACCCAGCCGCCTGATTTACGACCCGTGGAGACTTTCCTGACCGGAGAGCCCAAAGCTTTAGGGGTAAGAACAGCCTTTCCAGCTGACCTGAGGCACGGGCAGTGGGCGCCCCGGCACCGAGCACTCGTGCACCCCTTGGAGAGAGAAGCAGGCAGTTGACAAAGACTTAGTGAGGACTCGAGGATTCAGCCACACACCAGGCAGACAAGGACGCTTCCCCCATGGAGCTCGCAGGCAGCAAACTCGTAAACAAGTGACTAAGGTAACCCCAAAGAGGGGAATGAGGTAGGAAATTATGGACAGGCAGCGGCAACACTGGCCAGGGTGGACAGAAAGTTCTCTCGGGAGAGATGATGCTAAAGCTAAAAACCTAGATGCTGGGTTGAAGCCAGTCAAGGGAAGAGCTAGTGGAGGGGTCCAGAGGGTTCACCAGGTAGGAGGAAAATCAAGTACAAAGGCCTTTAGGTGGGCCGGGCGCGGTGGCTCACGCCTGCGATCCTAGCACTCTGGGAGGCCAGGGCGGGCGGATTGCTCGAGGTCAGGAGTTCCAAACCAGCCTGAGCAAGAGCAAGACCCCGTCTCTACTATAAATAGAAAGAAATTAATTGGCCAACTAATATATATAGAAAAAATTAGCCGGGCATGGTGGTGCATGCCTGTAGTCCCAGCAACTCGGGAGGCTGAGGCAGGAGGATCGCTTGAGCCCAGGAGTTTGAGGTTGCTGTGAGCTAGGCTGATGCCACGGCACTCACTCTAGCCTGGGCAACAAAGCAAGACTCTGTCTCATGTCTCAAAAAAAAAAAAAGGCCTTCAGGTGGGAATGAGTGTGGCTGTTCAGGAAAGAGATAGAAGGGTGACATGGCTGGGACATAATGAGCAAAGGAAGGAGGGAGATGAGATGAAGGTGGCGTGGTAGGTGACAGCCACCTGGCAGTGCATGAGAGATGACCTCTGAGCTCTTTCGCAATCTCAAATGGCCTTGAGTTATCAGTCTCTGGGGGGGAATAAAATATTAGATGATAGATAGATAGATATGCACACCCATACTCACATGTGCATGTGCATATTGTTTAAAAGAAAAGCTTTAAACAAATTAAATTTAACAGAGTTTATTTGAGCAAAGAATGATTTGCGAATCCAGCAGCACTCAGAAACAGGTTCAGAGAGTTCCAACCAGCAGTGTGAGCAACAAGATTCTATAAGCCGAACACAGAAGCAAAGTAGAGAAATCCCCTGATTGGCTACAGCTAGGCGTCTGCCTTATTTATGCAGGATGTACTGAGTCATTTGCCTTATTTGAGCATGCTCTGGCCAGTTAGCTGAAGTTTGGCTGTCTGTGATTGGCTGAAACCCAGCTATTCGTTACAAAAAAATATACTCCTAGTTAGGTTTCAGTTTGTTTACATACTGTTAGGTTGCAGTTTATTACATAGGAACGCAAAGGACAGAGACAGGCTAAGGGGCTCCTGTTTATTTCGTTCATACACACACAGGTATATAGTCTTCAGTTCATCCCTTGGCTTCGGTTTCTCCAAGTGGAAGACAAAAACATAGCTTAGGCAATGGTGATGACGATGACAGTGATGTTGATGGCAGCTCCTGTTTATTAAGTGTCTCTGGGAGATGCATGCACCGTGCCAACGTCTTTGCATGTATTGTCTCGATAGATTCTCAGCACCACCTTGTAAGACACAGACCATAGTTCCATTGGATGGATTAGGAAACTGAGATTTGTCAAGGCTGAATCACTTGTCCACGGCTACAGAGCTGCTAGGTGGCACCCTGTAACCGAGGATGACCTGACCACAAAGTTCTACTTTTGACCTCTCTGCTCGGCAGCCTCCAGGGCCTCTGGCTCAACCATGATGAAATTTAGAATTCTGCCCTAAAAGCTACACCACATCCGCTGGTACAGGAGGGGACTGGAGGCAGTGAACACGGAGGGGGTCATCAACTGCTGGAATCCTAAAACCTCAGAGTAGACCCTGGGAACAAATGATTCCCACAAAGGAATTTGATGAGACAAATACAAATTGCTGAAAAGCATAAAAAGTAGAAACTATAAATAAATGTGAGGGAATGCCACCCAGCGAGAACACCAGCTTTGGAGTTAGCTGACCTGTCATTTCATAGCTGGGAGACCTCAGGCAAGTTACTGAACATCTCTGAGCCTCGGTTTCCTCGTCTCCAAAATTAGGATGATAATACCTACCTCATGACGTTAAGATGAAATGAGATCACGTCTCTGAGACCCCCAGCACGGTGCGTGGTGCAGGCAGGCATTCGACTAGTGGCAGCTACCGTCTTCCGGGGAGCAATCGCAGAGGCTGCGGTGGTCTAGCAGCAGGGGGCAACCTGCAAGGAAGGGAGGGTGACGTTGGCACCTAGGATGCTGTGCCACACGGTGCCACAGGAAGACACTGATGGGATGGCAGACATACAGCCAAAGGGAGAAGGAGGCGGAAGATTCCAGGGGTCATGCCCATAGATACCCGAATTCTTAGCACTCATGTTGAAAAGGGATATGCAATTCTAGCTGTTCCCATTCAGAACCGCCCACAGAAGGACCTCGCTGTGTTGGGGGGTGGTGACCACTGGTCACTGAAGGAGCCCGTCTGAAAGTAGCGCAGCTGGAAGGGGCTCCTGGACAAGGCAGAGGCTGGATTAAGGGGTCTTCAACATCTCTTGCTGCTCAGTTCCAGAATTCAACAGTTACCAAAAACATTGCAATATATTTGCAATGTGGTGGAACTTACCAGAAGCCCACCCGTCCCCACCCTTGGGAAAACCATCCCACTTCTGGGAATAGATCAGAGGGGCGCTAGTAAACCAACTCTCAAAATCATCGTCGTCGTCATCACTGTTGTCCAAGTTGAGATTTCAGCTGGGCAGGAGGCAGCGGCAGCACAGGGACCAGTGACAGACGTTGAACTAGAAAGGTGCTGGAGGAGCAGGTGCTGGCTGCAGGCTGCAGGGGTGTCCGGGCACGAGGAAGGGCAGGTGAGGCATTCGGTGCAGGGAATGTGAGTCCTCGAACCAAGGCCTGAGAAGACCAGGTAGCCACGCTAAGGGATGCTGGAGACCGTGGCTCAGAATACAAAGCAGGAGGCAGCCCTGGGTGCTGTGCCCTGTGGCTCCCGCAGGCCGCGGGGAACTGGCTTCTTTCTGGACACCGTCTTTTATGGTCGCTCTGCCCGTGCGCTGACGGAAGCTGGGGAGGGCGGCCGGCAGGGGGCGGTGTGGAGCCGGCCGCGCGGCTGAGCCCTCGCTCCCCTCCGCAGACCGTGCAGATCCTCGTGGGCCTCATCCACCTGGGCTTCGGCAGCGTGCTGCTCCTGGTCCGCCGCGGCCGCGTGGGGATGCTCTTCATCGAAGGCGGCGTCCCCTTCTGGGGTGGAGCCTGCGTGAGTGGCGGGACCATGGGGGGGTGGGGGGCGGCGGGTCTGCCCAGGCTCACCTTTGCCCCCAGTGCCCACCCCCACCAGGCTCCTGCCTCAGCCCCTCCCAGGTGGGGCCCTGGCGGCACTTCCTAGAAGAACTGGAGTCTAAATCTAACTCCGTGCCGCAAACTTCATCATAAACCCAAGCCTGTACCCAGCTCTCAGCCAGCAGCCAGAGGAGGCGCCTAAAAGGATAAGATGAAGTGGGTGGGGCCAGGTGCTAACCACCTGTACTCCCGGGACCCTAAGCCTCGCTCCCTGCATGCAAGCCCCTCCTGCAGAAACCCTTCTGCTCCCCTGGGAGTGTCCCAGCCCTCCATCAGCTCCCTGGCCTGGAGTTGGACCAGCTCTGAAGCCCCTGAGCCCTTTCCTCTGGCCACAATCCGGCCAATCTGGCCACCCACCACCCTGCTGGGGCACTGGGTGAGCAGGTTGCTGTCACCTCCAACATGCGGAGAGTGCTGCCGTGTTTCCAAGGTGAACACTGGCGTTTGCTGTCACCCGAATCACCGCAGCCTCCAGCCGCAGGTGGGGTCTGAATGCCAGCTCCACCACGTGATACCATCCGGTCCCTTAGGAAAGGGACCCCCCCCTTGCCTCAACTTCCTCATCTGAAAATTGCATTCATAGATCTAGCCCTGCTTACCCCATAGTTTGCTGAGGATATCAAGAGATAATGTACGTGGAAGCTGATCACTAACCCTAAAATTCCGTACCAAACGGTGACTGATGATTCCTTATTTGGAGGAAACGTCAGAAATTTGCATGAGAGCAGCCTCCACTGAGCGAGTGTTGGTTCCAGAACCACAGTGACTTTGTTCCCTGCCCAGACTGCCCCAGCAAGAGCCAAAACCCCCTAAGAGGGGCCCAGAGAGGCCACATTGCTGACCCACCACAGCTAGGGCAGGATGGTCCCCAGGCCATGCTTGGGGACAAGCTCTGGCCCTTTGAATGATCCATAGTGACCCAAAGTTGGAAAATGTTGGCAAGTGGGAGAGCCTAAGGGGAAATCATAACAGGAAGAAACAAATGTGTCACATCTTCTCCAAGCTCCCTCCTTCCAGGCTTTATCACAAACTATTCCCAGTAAAGATTTCAAAAATGGGGGAAGAAAAAGACAAAAATCTGCTTTTCAATCTCAGGAGACATCGGAGTCAGGGGTCCCTGGGAGACACGGGTGAGCTCCAGCATTTGATCACTCAGTTAGATCTCCACGTCACTACCCTCTGGGGATTCCTGAAGGTATAGGGTATTATGTGCTTTTATTTTATCATGTGCATTTCTTTCTAGAAAGGGGTCTCATAGCTTTCCTCAGAGGCTCAAAGGAGTTCTTAGTTGAAAATTCCCAAAATTCTAGATGGGAAGATAATTAGGTACAGAAGGAACGAGGCAGGACAGCTGGAACGTGTCTTTGTGTGGCCCGAACAAATCATGCCTCTCTCTGGGGCGCAGCTTCTTTATCTAGAAGACATGTCTGTCTCCAGCCCCGAGACCTGAACTGTAGATCCAAATGCCATCCTGACATCTCCACTTGATGCTGCAGAGGAAACTCACTATGTCAAAGCCAAACTGTTGATTCCTACCCTGTTCTTCCCTTCCTCTCCCCATCTCAGCAATGACACCTCCAGCCACCCCCCTGACAAAGCGAAACGCACCCCAAGAATCACCCTTGACTCTCACTTCAGCCCCTCCAGCAGGTCCCGTCGGCTCACCCTCCAAAGCACAGGCTGGGTTTGCCCACTTCTCCCCACCTCCACGGCCACCACCCTGATCCACACCACCTGGACGTCTGTAGTGGCTCCTTCCTGGTCCTGTCTGTCTCTGTGTCACCCCAGGGCCTCCCCCAGCCCCCACTGTCCCGTGGTCTCTCCAGCACAGCAGCTGAGAGCAGACCTGCTAAGCGCTGCCCAGAGCTGGCGCAGCACTGGTCGATGCCATTCTCTCAGTCTCGCCATCACTTCATCTCAGCTCTTGTCTCCACTATCCATACATCTCTTCACTTCTATTTGCCAAATGTCAATCTTCTCCAGTTAGAATATAAGCCCCATGAAAGCAGGGATGTGTCACCTTCGTCAACTCCGTTATGTCCCTGGCACATAACTGCCACTTAGTAAATGTTTGATGAGTGAATATTTGAAGGAACATTTGAATGCCCTTCCTGTGAGGCTCTGGTGATGTGATGTCAATGGAAACACTTGCCTTGTGAGCCACGGCCCTAGTTCCCTGGACAGGGGCTCCTAGAAAGCAAGGGACACCCTTACAGAGAGACCCAAGGTGCCTGGCTGGGAGGCAGAGAAAGTACATCTAGGCGGCTGTGCTGCCCTCTCTCCGGCGCCTCTTGGCAGAGCCCAGGCATAGTGTGCCCCGCCCAGGGCCCCAGCCGAAGCCTCACCGGGTCCCCCCTTCCCCACACAGTTCATCATCTCTGGGTCCCTCTCCGTGGCAGCCGAGAAGAACCGCACCAGCTGCCTGGTAAGCCTGAACCAGGGGGGCCCAGGCTGGGGACAGGGCCACCGCTGAATCCCACTGGGCTCTGCTCCTTCCTCCCACTCACTCATGCGGCTCAGGCAGCCAGCACTTCCTGGGGACCTGCTGAGTGCCAGTGTGGGGCAGCCCCCAGGCGGAGCAGACAGACAGGACAGGAGGAGTGGGACACTCTCTCCATGTACAATGCGGGGTGGAAAGTGAGGGTCCAGGGATAACATGATCACGGTCATTCTGAGAAAGGAAAGATGCAAGAAGGCCTCCTGGAAGAGCAGACGGCCACGCCGGGCCTCGGTGGGCGGGGAGAACTTAGACATGCAAGGGGTGCGGGCAAGGTTGCTATGGAAACCACGCATGGCTCCACTGGACCAGGGCAAAGGACTGGGAAGGAAAGTGGAAAGAAATTATATGGAGAGATGTGCTGAGGCCTCGAGGAAGGCTCTGGTGCCTTCTGCTGGCAGCAGGGAGGTGACAGAGGTATTTGAATGGGACAGCGTCAGCATTGTGCCAGGCTCAGAGAATGCAGCAGCGAAGGTCATGCTGCTTACCCTTCCGGTGCTTGGCAAGATGCCCAAAAGCAAACTAACCAATAAGATAGTTTTGGAGCATGAAAAATGCTCCAAAGGGAGCAGACGAGATAACGTGAGGGTCATTCTGCTTGGCTGGGACAGTCTGGGGCCCCTGAGCAGGGCTCACTGAGCAGGGACCTCACAGTTCAGACGGTGACAGCCACAGAAGAGCCTGTCGGGGAAACGACGTGGGAGGGGGCCACAGCGCTGGGCCATTGCGGACAAGAGGCAGCGTGGAAGGGACTGAGCTGGGAGAGACAGCTGGGAGGCGACTCAGAGACTGAATGCCAAGTTTAGAATTTATTTTAAGGGCGATGAGCAGCTACTGGGGTTTAAGCTGGGGAGTCCTTGCCCTGTTTCAGTGCTTGAGCGCTGTCCGGGGTGCTGGGCAGAGGATGAGTCGTGGAGGGGCAGGACCGGGAGCCTCAGGCCCAAACCCAGCACCCCCAGGCTGTGGACTCCAGGAAGGCAGAGCCCTGACCAACTGCCCCTGCACTCACAGCACCTGCGTAGTGTCTGCATGCAGTAGGTGCTTACTAAAGGCCTGTTGAATTAACTAATTAATCCATAGCCTGTGACGCTGTGCTGGTCTCAATGACTTCCTGGCTGTCATCTAAAAGGCAGAATCAGGTATTTTTGAATTTGAATTGGCCCACCCTTGAGTGGTTTCCCCCTTTAAGGTGAGGGCAGTTTAACCAGAAGCTTCCAGCTACTATACTCACAAGAGTGTCAGATTCCAGCTGCATTGGGATAGTGACCCCAGGGTGGCCACGCGGACCACCCCTGGGATTCACGTGCCCTGCATGCTTTCTGGACATGGAAGTCCTGGGCCTCTCGGTGAGGGCTTGGCCCACCCGACTTCCGGCCCTCAGCACCTGCCTCTCTCCTCACCCCTGTCCCTTGCCCCCCACCCCTATGTCCCCCACCCTGTGGTCTGCAGTGCCTTGCTTTGGTGGCTGCTGCCTGGGGCCTCATGGAAGTGACCTGAGCCCCTCTCAGTGTCCACAGCAAAGGGCCCCTGACCCATGCCCCTGGGACAGGTCTCAGCGCAGCTCTACCTGCAGGGTGCTCTCGGGGGGACGGGGCAGCCACGGTAACAGACGGGCGAGAGCCCTGCCACAAACCTGCCCGCAGAGGCTGTGAAGGTCGGGCCCTTCTCCCTCCTCCTGAGGTCCCAAGGAAGGAGGCAGTCAGCACAGCCCCAGCCGCTGCCTCCTGGGCGGTGGAGGGACGTGCTGGGGGCTGCACGGCCTCGCCCCCGCCTCTGTTCATCCTCCTTCTCTTCGCCTCTTCCCTCTGCTCCTGCCTCTCTCCCCGCTGCAGGTGAGGAGCAGCCTGGGCACCAACATTCTCAGCGCCATGGCGGCCTTTGCTGGGACAGCCATTCTGCTCATGGATTTTGGTGTCACTAACTGGGTGTGTTGTCTGATATCCCCAGCAGTGGGAAAACCTGGAGAGTGACAGAGCCCTGTCCAGGAGGGGGAGGGAGGCGCGAGTGTGCAGCAGCAGGGCATTGGCGGGGCCGATAGATCCCTGAATATATGGACCCTCTGACCCTGCACCAAGGTGGGCTTGGCGGGACGGAGAGGCAGCCTGTAGGGTGAAGGGGAGGGCGCAGGACTGGCAGCAGGAAGACTGGCTCCAGGCACAGGTGCACCTGGCTCTGTGACTTTGGGCGAGTTACCCTTGCTCAGGGCTCCCATTGTTCTGGAACTGTCCGCTCACCTGGACCGTGGGTTTGGTCCCAGGATGTGGGCAGGAGCTACCTGGCTGTGCTCACTATCTTCACCATCCTGGAGTTCTTCATCGCAGTCATCGCCACACACTTTGGGTGCCAGGCCACACGCGCCCAAGCCAACGCAGTGAGTACCCCCACCCCTGCGTCCCCTAAACCTGTGCCTCTGAGGTAGGCCGGGAGGGCTCCCTGCCCCCAGCCCCTGGGGCAGCGCAGCACTGAGCGTCCCACTTGAACATCAGGGAACCTAAGCATCCTCACAGCTCAGTGCAGATGGAACTGTTCTTCTTGTGGCCATGGGGGGGTGGGGTGCGGTGTCCGGCAGCAACAGACCCACTGCCCTGCCGCAGAGCAGGAGGCATGGGCTCGGGACATGAGGGGCAGGGCTGTACCCAAAGGAGCAGACCCTCCAGGAGTGCCCGGGCTATGCAGGGCACAGGGCACATCACAGTGTGCAGCATGGCTGAGGTGGAAATTGAGCTTAGTTTCCAAGGAAATGGAGGACAGTGACAACAGAGAGGGGCTGGAAGGGGCACTCATGGCAGAGGAGCCAGTCTGAGCAAAGGCTGCATCAGGAGGGAAGAGAGGTGCTACTTGCGGGGTGCAGCAGCAGGTGTCCAGGCGGACATCTGGGTGTGGTTCCACTCAGTAGAGTGGGAGGTGCTGCTTGCGGGGTGCACCGTGTAGGGGGGCGGCATCGAAGGTCTGCACGCAGGAGACTGAGCTGGGTTCACGGAGCTCAGTCAGGAGGATCTGTCCCATGCAGGGGCGGGAGGGGGTGGGCATCTGGGGGCTCCAGGCCAGGAAGCAGCAAGGAAGCCAGTGCTCCAGTGCAGGCAAGAGGTAGTGAACCCCTGAACCCCAGGATGGGGCATCCAGAGATAAGAACTCCAGGGCATCAGCTGCTAAAGAAACAGGACTTTTGTCTGTTTTGTTCACTGCTGCACTCCCAAGGCCTGGGCCATAGTTGGCCCCAGTAAATGTTTTTTGAAATATTGGTCAGACAGATGACAATTCTGAGCGTGCAACTCAGTCTTGCAGAATTCATTAGCAGAGCGCTGTTCTCAGAATACCCACAAGGGGGCACTATGCTGCCGTAACGCGTCCCTGCGCTGGGTGTTTTTTTATCTTCGCAGCCTGTGGTTTTCCTGCCTAATGCCTTCAGCACAGACTTCAACATCCCCAGCCCGGCAGCCTCCCCGCCCCCTGCCTACGACAATGTGGCATATGTACCCAAGGAGTCGTCCGAGTAGCGGGTTGGGAGTCCTACGGGTTGGAGCCCAGCCTGCCCCCCACCCCACCTTGCCCCTTCCCCACTGCGCCCCGCACCCAGTCCCACGTGCCGGGGCACCTGAGTGAGGCGTCCCCAAGGGCGTCTGTCCCACACTCGTCCCCAGCAGTTTCCTTCCTGAAAGACGCCAGGTTGATGCCGAGGGTGCAAGTCCTTCAGCCCCTGCAGCCCTGTCGTGCTTCCAGGGCACAGAGGCTGTCCAGAGTGTTGTGCGCACGGTCACGGTCCCCCCACCCCCCTCCCTGCAGAAACTATGGTAACATGGAGGCGGGCTTGACCCCAGCCCTGCCCACCTCCCAAGGTAGGGGGTTCGCAGGGGAGGGCTGAAGCCAGCCCATTCCTCAAGCCAGCGTGGACAGGTGCACAGGGAAGCTGGCTGGGGCTCCAGCGCCTCTCAGCCTCCCTCCCCCACCCCACAGCCTGAGGACAGGGCTGCCCTGAGGGTCACTGGGCTGGGTCCCCAGGGGACCAAGAGATGGCTGCCAGCCTGGTATTCACAGGCCCTGGCAAAGGGCTCGTCTCCTCCATAGCACAGAGGGAAATAAACAGTGTGGCTTAAATTTTGAGTTGGTCTCCGTAAGGTTTTTGGGCAGCGGTGAAAAGAAAAGACAGACAGAAAGAGTGGGGACCAAACCACGTGGCTTTATTATACACTCGTGGATGAGGTTCTGGGGCCCCAAGAGAGGGGGGCCCCAGAAGTCTCCGCTGTTTGAAGGGGTTGAGGCCTTTTATACCCTTTGGGCCTGGCTAGGGACTCTTGGCGGGAAGAGCTGGGGATTTTAGGGGGGGCTGGAGGTATTTGTGGAATCCAAGAGCCTAAACGTTCTTATCCAGGTGGACATCTGGGTGTGGTTCCTCTCAACGGGGCCTGGCAGTTTTGTCCTCTGTGCGTCTGGTCTCATGAGCCTTTTCTTTCTTGATCTAGGGATGGGAGGGGGCCCGCCACCAGCCTTAGAGTCTCATTGCAGTGACTTTCTTTTTCACCTCAGGGGTTAGATACCCTAAGGGTCATCTCAGTCCATCAGAGGACTTGGGTCACTGTCCAGCTGTCACTGCACAGGGACACATCTGGGGGTGCTGGGTGCTACGCTCTGTGTGGTGTGACCCTCACACTAATTCTGTCCCCACCTCAGCCCAAACAAGCCAGCGTCCATCTCCCCACTCCACAGCTAAGGATGCTGAAGCTTAAAGAGGCTAAATCACACTCCCAAGGCCACCAAGCTAGTAAGAAGCCAAGCTGGGATTTGAACTCAGCCCTGTGTGGCCTCAAGTCCATGCTACCACACGGCCTCTCCACAGTCTAAACTAGAGTGCTTTCCACCAGCGCCTTCCCTCCTTCCTCTGTTTGTCCCCATCCCAAAGACTGGGACTGGGCTGCCTTCCTCAGAGCCTCTCCTTCATCATCAGCAAACTCCTGCTCCTCCTCCCAGACCCTTCGAGGGTGGCGTCCGGAAGCTGCCATTTAAGGAGGCGTTCACTCCCAGGCTCCTGCCAGCGAGGGCCGGGGGTGGGGGTTGCAATGCACTTTGGCTTTTAAAATCAAAAGAGGAGACTTGAGGATTTAGGCCATTAAGTATAGAATGGGGTGAGATGTGCTTGAGGATTTAAGACCAGTTTTAGGAGATTAGAGACATTTCAGAACCGAGGAGAGGAGTTTGGGGAGGAGGAGGAAGAGAGAGCTTAGCCTCAGGCTGCAGTTACCGCCCTCTTTCCTCAGCTGACAAAGTCCCTCAGGGACAAAAAAAAACCACAAAAAAACACAAATCAGGAGGAATTAAGGAGCTGGGATGCTTCCTCACATCCCTGGCTGTCTCCTGGGGACAGTGCAAGGGCCCTAGAGACATCCCATGTCCAGACAGCATGGAGCCACACCGAGAGTAGAGCTGGCTGAGGGTTGTGCCTTGTGACATGAGGTCCTGCACTCCCAGATGGCGTGAGAGGCCAAGCGTCCGAGAGCATCCTGTGCCTCCTGGGAGCACAGTGGCCAGAGGTGTGACGTGGATTACATGAGACTGTAGCTTTGCAGCAAATAAGAACAGGAAATAAGAGTGGGGACAGGGGCCACCACCGAGACACCATAAAGGGCAAAGTGCCCCTCAGCAGATGCTAGCCACAACAGACGGTGGCTTGTGGCTTGGAAGTCATGAGAAGTGACTGAGTTAACCTGAATTGGCAAAATCAAGTTTTCTACCACGGAGAGAAAATGGGAGGTAGAGAGGTGATTGCCATGAAGAAGAAATCTGAGAACCATGCCACGTTACTAAGAGCAGTTAGCAAAGACCTAAATAAATGAAAGGATATATTAAATACTATGTTCATGGGTTGGAAAGCTCAATTTTGTTAAAATGTCATTTATCTCCGAAATGTATTTGTAGATTCAATACAATCCCATTCCAAAGTTTATTTTGGGGGAAAGTGACAAGAAGCAGATTGTAACATTCATACGGAAATTCAAAGGATCTAAAGAAGCCGAGAAAATCTTAAAGAAAAACCAAGTTGGAGGACTCAAACTACCAGACTTTGAGACTTACTGTAGACAGTAATCAGACAGCATCATTTTAGTGCAAAAAGTGACATAGACCAGTGGAACAGAGAGCCCAGAAACAGAACTCACATCCACAGTCACTCCCTGGCAAAGGTACCCACAATTAAGTGGAGAAAGGACATTCTTTTTAATAAATGGTGCTGGAGCAATTGGATACTGGTATAGAAAAAAAAGAACCTTAATTCCTACCTCACATCATACATAAAAAGGAATTCAGAATGGGTCATAGACCTAAATTTTAAAACTAAAACAAGCTTCTGAAAGAGAACATAGGAAAATATCTTTATTACATTGAGATAAACAAAGTTTTCTTAAAGTACACACACAAAAAAACACTAACCATAAAAGATTGACAAACTGGAGTTTATCAAAATTAAGAAGCTCTATTTATTAAAAAAAATACCATGGTAAGTGTGAAAATACAAAAGCACAGACTGGGAGAAGATTTTGAAATATGTAATCTCTGACAGAGGTCTCATATACATAACATACAAATAACTCCTCAAAATAAATCAGGAAAAGACAATGATAATAATATCATCCTTGCTTTACAGAGGGAAAAGCTGAAGCCCAGAGAGGTCAAATAAGCTACCCAAGATCACATAGCTATTAAGTGGTAGAGTCAAGATTTGGACTCAGGTAGCCGGGACTTGGAGTTGGCTCTCGCGTGCTCTGCTGTGCTCAGCAAGCCACAGGGAGTAAGTCCTGGCAGTGGGGACTACGGTGTCTGAGCTGGCCAGGGAGTAAGTCCTGGCAGTGGGGACTAGGGTATCTGAGCTGGCCACTGGGCTCTGCATCAAGCTTCCCGGGCACATCATTGACATAACAATGAAGACAGAGAAGGCGAATGGAGAAGGAGGAGCCCGGGGTGGGAGCCCTGGGGTTGCTGAGCCCACGGCACACCTGCTCCACCCAGGAGCCTCACGGAGGGTCCATGCACCTCCCAGGCACAGCGCCACGCAGGGGCAGAGCCAGACAGCTTGGCCGGATCTGCCTGATGCGATTTGGGGGCCACGCCTGGAGCCTGATTGGAACAAGTCAGCGGCAGCAAGACCTTTGTGAGACAATCAAGGAAATCCGAGCACTGGACAGTTGATACCCACTGAGTAGCAAAAACTGGGTAAGAACAGGTTCTCCTGACCCCTGGGGTTGCAACTGGCCTTCGCAAGAGCAGCTCGCAAACCCGCACAGATCTCCGCGGGGCTGCAGGGTTACGCCTCGCTGAGCCCCAGGACTTAGTTTTCATTTTTCAGTTGTGATCAGGTGGTCACACGTTTTTAGCAAGCCCGTGTCTTTTAGAGACAAATACTAAAATGCTTACAAATAGCATGGTGGGATGTCTGAGCTTTGCTTACTGATGGGGGAGGCAAGATCCAACAGGAGCTAGCCAGGGGTTCGTCCCACTCCCTCTACTTTTGTGAATGCCTGAAATTTTCCAGAATTAAAAAGATTCATTCGAAAGGTTCAACTTCTGAATCGAAGATTATATACCACCTTCACTCCTCCCATCCTGCACTTTAAACAGGTTAAATTGTCAACGTTTTCCTTGCCAAAAAAAAAATGCGTGGCATAAAAGAGAGGCTCAAAGAAGGGCACTGAGATTTTTCACCTGCCGGGGTTTGGGGACAGTGAAGACTCTGACAGGTCCCGTGCTGCTGGGAGTGAAGGAGGAGGTGGGTCCAGGAGGGAAAAGATCCGAAGTCTAATGTTGTGAAGATGTTCTGACTTTCCAGCACTGTCGCCCTGCAGCTGAGCTGTCTCCAGAGGCCAGAGTACGGCTGGCTGCTCCCAGCAGAGGTCCTGGGGCCAGGCGATGGTCCCCTCGTGGCAGCCACAGAGGGGAGTGTCTCTGTCATTCCACACGGGTGGGCGTGGTGCTCAGGAGCACAGACTTGGTCCCACCTTGAAGCCAGGGGCTGGCCTTTCATTCCCTTTCACCAGCAGTCACTGGCTACAGGGTTGGGGCAAGGGCAGGGGGTGACGGAAACTCCCAGGAGGGAGCAGACATGAGCCTCAGCAATGGGAGTTCCCCACCCACAGCCCCGCGGCAGTCACTGAGCACCGGAGCCAGGAGGACCCCCCACCACTTCCACGCCAGTCCTGGAAGTACACGCACATGGAGACGGGCCCAGAGAGAGGAAGGGACTTGTCTAGGGCCACTTGGGGCCAGGACTAGAATCCAGGACTTCTGACCCCTCTCAGAGGGGAGGCTTCTGTTGCCCTCCGGCCCCTTGCAGGTGACCCCCTGTTCACACCGGGCACTCCGTCCTAAACACTGGGAGGCGGCTTTGGCACATTCATGGGCTGTTTTCTAACTGGCATCCACTGAAACCCCAATCCTCTAAGGGTCCCCCACCAACTGTCCTGTCTGTCGCATGGTGACACCGTTAGTCAGTGCTTCTCAATTCCTGCCTTTCTCTGCTTGACGTGCATGCAAGCACGTGCACATGCACGCACATACACATGCATGCACATACACATGCACACACATACACATGTATGCACATACATATATACACATACACATGCACGCACATACACGTGTACACATGCACATACATGCACAAGCACACACATCCACACATGCACAGGCACACATGCACACGTATGCATGGGCACACACATGTACATGCACACACACCCTCAGAAGTTCTCCCTGTCCTCCAGGCCTCCTCTGCACAGTCTGATTAGGGTCACATTATTCGTGATCTATTCAAGATTTTCTCTGCCCGTTTGTTCACAAACCTCCCAGGGATGAGTCTCACTCATTCCTGCACCCGGGTCCCTGTGGCGTCCCGTGCATGGATTTCCATGAACGGCAGCTTTGGGTCTCAGATCCCTGGCTCTGTACACTGAGTGGTCTCCTTCCCCGTCCACATCCTTCCCCTCCCCAGATCCCTCACGGCCCTCTTCCCCTGTGAGCAGGAGGGAGTGGAGGCCATAAACTCACCACTCCGGTTGGTATCTTAACAGAGAACCAGATGAGGACAAGGTGGAGCCTTGCTGGCGAGATTCCAGGCACGCAGCAGGCTGGTGGTAACACCCACTGGCATTTATTGCTGTGTGCCAGGCCCTGTCTGTTGCAGACACGATTCCAGTTACTCCCCACCACCCACTCCCAGGAACAGGTGCCAGCACTCCCCACGTGCAGACGTGTAAAGAACCTGCCCAAGGTCAAGGTTCCAGGGAGTAGAGCCAAGTCTTGGCCCAGGCTCCTCTGCTTCCAAGGCTCACGGTCTGGCCCACTCGGCTCCTCTACGTGGAGGTTCTGGAGGTCCTGCCCAGCTCTGTGCCTGCCCTCCTGGTCCTCCCAGAATATGTGCGGGACCCAGGCGGCACGTGGCCCTGTGCACAGCCCCGGGGCCCTGGTGGTGGCGGGTCTCCCTAGGGATGCCAGCTGGCTGGGCGTGGGGGTCCTGAGCTGGCTGGACAGAAAGTGGGGGGCCAAGGCTGGAAAAGTCCCTCCCATGACTCAAACAGCCTGCCCAGCCCTCTCCGCCAGCCCACCTCCACCCGCAAGAGCCCCACACAGGTGCTGCACAGGTGGGCGGGGGGGGGGGCAGAACAAGCCTCCTAAAGCATCAGCATCCATGCCCTTGGTCTTGGGAAGTGGAAATAAAACCTTGAAACAAACAGACTTTTCCCCTCTGGTATCCGAGGCCCGCCCTCTCCACTGCCTCCCCTCCTGGTTATACCACGGGACAAGTATTTACAGTTGAAAGGGAGCCAAGAGATCCTCATGCAGTTCCCACTCCCACTGTGATATGCACAAGGGAAAACCAGGAGGAAGGCAAAGAGATCCAAAAATAAATAAACAATTAAAACCCCGGAACTGGAAGTCTTAAAGTTCAATGTCATTTTGTCCAAAAGCAGACCTCGCAGAATATCGATTGCTTAGAATCATTGGACCACAAGAAAAAAGGTTCTAAGGGCAATTAAGTTTGGTAAATAACCTTAATATTAAAATAGAGTGGTCCGCTACAGGTCAGAGCCTTTAATATGAGAAAGGGAGACAAGGGTTTCCCAAACTTATTTGACTACAGACCGAGTTTCCTGCAGATTTGTCAGGACCAGTGTTCCGTGGAACATACTTTGAGAAAGGTTACTCTGGCCTCTTGAAGCCAACTCCATATTGGCTATTTTAGCCACAGCTCTGGCAAGTGAGTGCCCACATGGAGGCCCATCTCTGGTGCTGGGCCACTCAGGATGCCCCCAACAGTGCATTGCATCTGAGACACTGCAGAAAAGAGTTCCCTGTGTGTTCCCGGTGGAGTCCGGGCTCAGGTCCAGGTTCTGCCCTCCCAGGTGCACGGAAGTCTGGCTGCAGCCAGTGCCTGATCCGGTACCCGCGTCCCTCAGCCCAGCTAGCTGCGTGACAAGGGCTCCTAAAGAGTGGGGACTTGAGAGAGGGATGACGCCCAAGCACAACTAGGTCAGGTCATGGAAAGGAGAGTCACTCAGCCCTGTGTCTTTGAGCTCTGCTTTTGAAGCCCAGGAAGGAGGGAGACCCGGACCCCCACCTCTCCTCACTAAATCAGGGGCTGTCACCACCAATGGAGATATCCATCAGGGGGTCCCACCAAGCAGCCTCGGCCTGGAGCACTGGCAATGGACTAAGACTGTGGTGGTTCCAATCCCAGGCACTTCCTCGCTGTGTGACTTTGGCCAAGGCACATGACCTCTCTGAACCTTGGTTTCCTCCCCTACGTAATGATGCTGACTTCCTGGGTATTAAGGAAGGCCGGCATGCAAAACCGCCTCCTGGCTCAGTGCCTGGCGTAGAGTGATGGCCGGGGCTGGGCCTCATCCGGCTCCTTGACTCTTGGATAGCTTCCTTTCCATCCATGCAGGATGCAGTCGCCTGGGCTGTTCGTCCCTGCCAACCTCCCAGGGCTCTTTCCCTTCCATGGAAAGGAATCCCTGCACCTCTGGGGAAGGAAGACTCAAAAATTATGGATGCTCAAACAGGACCTCCTAAATTCACAAGTCAGACTTAAAATCGAGAGGAATGTCCCCCTCCTTTTGCTCTTCCAGGACAGAGTCTACGGCAGCCCACTCTCTCCAAAGGCTTTACTCCGAGCCCCGTCCCCATGGGGACACCACGTCCCGCCCCACCTCCCTCCCTCCAGCCAGCTCCCTTTCCCTCCCCTCCCCCTCTCTGCTCTCCAGGGGAGACTTCCTCTTTCCTCACCAAGTCACCAGGCAGCCCCCCAAGCCCTGTGGCGTCAGTACACACTATGATGACCAGGCCCCTACAAAGTTGTCCCCAATCCCTTTCTTGTACCCATTAAAACATCCAGAACATTCCTTTTTGTCCGTTGAGCCAACAGTACGTGAAGGATTTAAGCCCACAGGCTCTGGAGCCAGCCTGCCATGCTTCGGGTCCAAGTCATGTATTCGCTGTGTGACCTTGAACAAGTGGCTTAAGCTTTCTGAGCCTTATCTGTAAAATAAGAGCTAGGACGGTATTTACCAAATAGGGTTGGCATGAGGATAAAATCAGATCATGCATATGAAATGCTTATCCCAGCGCCTGGAACAGAGAAAGCGCATAAATGTTAGCATTGTTGGTGAATACTGACTTCCTGGCTCAGTGTTGGCTCATAATAAGTCCTTAACAGAATCCTTCTCTTCTCTTCTCTTCCCCATCCCCCCAAGCCCGGGGCCAAAGGAAGTTGGATAATTATTTGATGGACACCTGCCTTCAGCCACTCATCCCGGGCCAGTGGATGGGGACTGTTTACAAAGCCTCCCACACCTGCCCGGGCCTCCTTCCCCTCCTGGCTCCTGTTAAGCTGCAGTCTGGCGGGTCTGGGTGGGCTCTGTCTTGCGCTAGGTGTGAAGTCTGTCTAGTCCTCTTTCTCTGCCCCCAAAGGAGTCATGTCTTTGCAACCCCAGAGAGGCTGTGAGCAACAGTTACTCACCGTCCACAGGGGCCAGATTATTCCAGACCAGGGCAGTGCCAGGGGCTGCTGGGCAGGGCCACCGCTGTTCTGGAAGGCCCAGTCCAGAGAACAGAGGTGATAGGCAGAGTCCCGCCCAGGCGCAAGTCTCAGAGACAAGACGGGTTCTGGTGTGGACTTTCTCCTCGGCCCGCAGCCAGGGGCCCCAGCCAGAGTCGATGGCAGCCGAAGCCTACGGAGCCGCTGCGGTTGCTCCTGGCCTCGGTGCTGGGGGACCCCCGCCATGGCAGGCTCCCGGCCCCACCCAGCCCGGGCACACATGGCCACCCCAGAAGGTGGCCCAGCCCGGGCTCCTGGCTTCCTGCCGGCACCAGGAGAAGCCCTGGAGGAGGAGCAGCCTTCTCAAGGAGCTGGCCGTGAGTGTCCGTTTCCCGGGGTCCTCCCTGGCCTGGGAGGGGACAGGAGCTGGGTACACAGGGAGGATACTTGGGGACCCCGAGGGGAGAGAGGCGAGGAGAAAGCCTCCAGATTTCCTGCACATCACTCATCCTAAACCTGAAAAGGCCTCAAGGGGTGGAGAGAGGCTCCCCAACCCACTGTCTTGTGAGGTTTGGGCGGGGCCTCCCGTGGGGGTGACAGCAGGGGCTGCCGGCCAGCCGGAGCCAGCTCCAGGACAGATGGCCCCACCGGTGGGGGCCCGGGCAGCCTCGGCTCTCCCTGCCCGGAATCCTGGGGAGGAGCCCTGCTGTGCAGACCAGGATTCAGAAGAGGGCGGAAAAGGGACTCGCCCCAGCCAGTAGATACAGGACACTGATGGCCTCACCGGGGCCGGTCACCGATGCCCTGACCCCAGCAGCTCGCTGTTCCCTGCCCAGGCCTTCCACATCATCATCGCTATGCTGCACCTGGCCTTTGGGGGTTACCTGGCCGCCACCGTCAAGAGCCTTCACCTGGTGGTGCTGAAGTCTTGGTTTCCAGTCTGGGGGGCTGCCTCTGTGAGTAGGGGCCGGAGCGCAGGCCGGCTGTGGGGTGTGCAGGGCAGGCCTGGGAGGCACTGGCGTTTGGGACGGGATGCAGTGGGAGCAAGCTAACGGGAGCAAAGCGTAAGCCGGCCCCTTTCTCCAATGCCCCTGTCTCTGTCATGCTGGAAATAGCTCCTTCCCGGGGGACCTGTCAATCCTGAGTGCCAGGAGAGACTCCCTCACTGAACGTGTGTATCGGCAGGGAGGACGAAGAGCATGAGCTGGGGCAGCTCCCTTCTTTCCCCACTTGCTGAGCAGCCAGGTCGTCTGTGGCCCCAGCAACAGGTCCCTGGTGCCCTGCCGGGGTCGGTCTGCCGGAGCACACAGAGTGTAAGGAGTGGCGCCTGTCCTCCCAGGGCCATCGGCCAGGATGGGAGATGACACGGGACCCGTGCACGCACCATTTCCCAGAGGCTCCCATTCCTGCAGGTGGAGCCCTGCGTATGCGCCAAGTCCCAGCTCATTGCTCAGGTGTCCTGACCCCCCGACCCCGACTTTCACGTCAGCCCTCAGACCCCACTGCCCCCAGCTTGGAGCTGTCCCTGCACAGCGATAGAGCTTTGCACACACGCAGGGCCTACCCGTCCTGGGCTCCCGGGACTGGCATGCAGTGGGAGCTCATGGACATTGGACAGAATAATTGCAGAGCTACACCAGAGACCTGAGAACCAAGGGCCAACGTCCTCCCAGCCGCAGGATTCAGGAAAGGAGCAAGGGTCAGGTGGAGGAGATAGTGCGGCTGATCCCAGAGACATTGCTTGGGCTCGTAAAGGGCGTGGGGGCGCAGGAGGCGCTGGGGGGCATTCCAAGTGCAGGGCAGGGCTTGGCCCAAGGTGCAGTAGATGGGACAGGTGGGAAGGCGGGGGAGGTGGGGCAGGGCCTGCAAAGGGCCACGTGGCGGGCAGGAGGAGCTCTCTTTGTTGGGGAAATGATGTTCTCTGCCCCTCTGGCCACCAGGGGTTGGTTTTCTTGGAGGATGCGGGGAAGGGAATTTGTGGGTTTCAAGGAACCCCATCTTCTCTCCTTTGACTTTCAAATCCGGCCTGCAGTTTCTCATTTCAGGGTTCTTGGCGATGATAGTGCAGACCTTTCCTAAAATACATCTGGTGAGTTGGTGCGTTGAGTTCATTCTCTTCCTTCCAAGCCTGGAGTAACCTCGCCGAGGGCACCTGTGTGCGGGTCATTCAGGAAGCCGTTCTGGAGGGCGCGCTGGGAGCAGGCTCCTGCCTCCAGACAGCAGAGGGCACCCGAGCGAGCGGCAGGGCTCAGGTGCAGGCTGGCGGATTTGGCTGTGGGAGGAAAGCAAGCCCTACCCCAAGGTTCTGTCTTCCCAGTGCCCTGCGGTGGAGAAGGAGGAACTGGCTCCCAGACACCCCAAACCACCCATCTAGAACAGACCTTTGCTGCCTCCCAAATCTACCGAGTTTTGAGCCCAGTCACTACCCAGCCTGCAAGTCCCACCTGCAGCTGGATTTCCCTCCACGGCTCGTCTCTGAGAGCCAGGCAGGGGCCACTGTCGTCACCCTGCTCTGCCCAAGCCCCTTGCCCTCTCCACGGCACACGTCTCCCCATCTTTGACCACTCCTGCCCCTACTTCAGGACTCGGCTCCTATGCCTCGTCCCCTCCCGGGTCCTCCATTACCCGCCGCTGCTGGCTGCAGCGTGCCCACTGCCCTGTGGACCCGCCCGTCTCTGCCACACACTGAGCTTCATGTGGGCAGTGTGACGGACCATCTTTGTAGGCCAGGGTGGCCCAGGAAGGCACAGGGCAGACACCAGACCCAAGACCGGGCGGCTGGAGGTGGACAGATGACGTAAAGACCATTTCTGCAAATCATATTTCCGCCCCTCCCTCCCTACCCTGTTCCAGGAGCCCTGGCCTGGTCCTGCCACGTTTGTGGCCCTCAGCGTGCCTAGGCTGCGGCTGTCCCCTGCTTCCCCAGGGTCATGAGAACAGGACACTGGTTGTGCAGCTTGCACAGCGGAGACAGGAGATGCTTGGCAAAGACCCGCCCGTTCCCCAGACCTCACCCCCTAGGCGAGCCCCTTTGAGGACCACGAGCCTCTCTGTTCCTATACTTGAGCACAGGGACCCTCTTATTGCAATGAAATTCACCCTACAGGGCTGTAGATTTCATAGGTTCATGCTCTCCCCCCATCACAGGGGCTCTCATTTGGCAAGAGGCTCCCAGAATAATGCTTCGCCCAAGAGGGTGGTACTATGGGCATTTCAAGGACCTGGGGGGAGGGTGGGTCAGGGAAGGGATCGGACACTGAGGAGGGGGAGGATGGGACACCACAGGGCCCCTCCCCCATCCTTTCCCACGAAGAACCAGCGGGGTGAGGGGCCACGTGGGTGGGGAGTCTCTGCCCACTTGCCCTGTCTGCTGTAGGATGGGGCTGCCTTTGTGACCCAGGGACGGTGGGGCGTCCTTTACTGCAAAGCTCTGTGATCTGGGGGCAGCTCAGGTCCCAATTTGTCCCGTAGAACGTGAGAGCCAGCTGGGTGTTCCTCGGTGGTCCGTGGCTCAGCTCCTGGCGCCGGTGGGTGAGGCCCCGGGCCCAGAGACGGTGGAGTCTTTCCTGAGGCCACAGAGGAAGCTGCTGGCAGGCTGGGAGGAGGACCCAGACCCGGGCTCTAACCTTGGGGTGAGAGCTGTGGCCTTTATTTTTCGCTTGCAGAAGGTCTTGTGCGTGACGGCGAACCTCGTCAGCCTCCTCTGCGTGCTGGCCGGCCTCTTCGTCATGACCAAGGACCTCTTTCTGGAGAGCCCGTTCGAGGCCCCCATCTGGAGACCGTACCCCTACTCCACAGTGAGTGCCCAGGCCCCGAGGATCCCGGGCTCCAAGTAGGGCGCTCCTCGGGCCTGGCCGAGAGGAGGTTCCCAGCTCTCGGAGAGCCTCTCCTGGAGCCCAGGCACAGGCAGCTGAGCGGACCTGCACGGCGCCCGGGCGTGGCGGGGCGGCTGCTCCCTGGACAGTGCCAGGGAACCAAACGGGGCCTCGAGTCATGGAGTCCAATCCCACTTTTATATTAACAGATGGGGAGACTGAGGCCCGGGGGGAGGGGCTTGTCTGAGGTCGAGGAGCAAGTTGGCTGCAAATCCAGGACCACAACCTAGAACTGCCGATTCCCCAGCCACGACCCTAACTTGGTGTCCTGGTGACGTCGTCACCGGGAGGCTCCCAGCAGCCTTGCAGCGCTGGCTGAGTCCACTTTGTTACCCCGTTTTATGGGAGTGAACACTGACGTCCAGCGAGGCTACACCAGTGGACCAAGGCCACACGGGAAGTCAGGGGTGCAGTGAGGACTTGCAGCCGGGTCTGTGACTCCAAGCACAGTGCTCTCTTCACCACACCATGGCTGCCTCTGAAGCAGAGGCTGGATCAGCCATCCCAAGCTGTGAGCGTCTGGATGCAAGGGTCTGACCATGGTGGTTTGCTAGTCCTTATCTCCCCCCACCACACACGTGCATGCACATGCACACCCACACACGTGCACACATGCATGGACACACACACACCATACATACTTCCCCACCAAATGCTTGTGGTCCTAGGAGATGTCACCCAGCTGCATGGCGGTCCTCAGCCCAGCCCTTCCTCCCCCGCTATAAAAGACACTCCTCTCTGGGCCTAGGTATCCCCATCTGTCATGCAGGCTTGGATCAGATGACCCTAAGGCCACCTTCAGTCTTACCAAGGACCCTCGAGATTCCCCAGCCCTCAAACCTTTGGCAGATACTCACCAAGGGGCCTATATGTGCCAGGTGTTGGGTGCAGGGCAGTGACCGAGACAGACCCAGGCTCCACCTGCCCTCCCCAGCGTGTCTGGGAGCTGGAGCCACATTGCCCTCTGCTAGGCTCTGACCCCCGCCCTGCAAGGCCCACGGGCTGGGTGCAGACGCCTTCCCCAGCCTCCCTCCCTCCCCTAGGTCTTCATCCAGAGGCTGGAGCTGGCCTTGCTCTGCTTCACCTTCCTGGAGCTCTTCCTGCCGGTGCCCACAGCTGTCGTAGCCTACAGGAGGGACCGCCAGTCTGCAGAGGTGAGGCCCTTCTCCAGGCCGCAAGCCCTCAGGAGGTGGGGGCTGAGAGAGAAGCGTAGAGCTCATTCATTCACTCTCATTCATTCCCATGCTGCTGAGCCTTTACTAAGTGGCGACCCACAGTCCAGCAGGGGAGCCGAGGCCTGGGGTGGGAGAAGTTCAAGGTGAAAGAGGTGGGGCCACCAAGGAGCAAACGCCATGGTGCCCAGGAAACTGCATGAGGAAGAAGAGGCAGGATTCAGACACAGATGGGAGGAGGGACCACCCGCAGGAGCACTGGCTGGAGACAGGACAGGGAATGGCAGGCGGCTACTGCGGGTGGGGAGTTTGGCTACCCGCGCAAGTGAGAGGAGGACTCACAGAAGCTGGAGCACTTACGGCATTCCAGATATAAGCACTAGATAGATACGCATATACAGGTGTATAGATGACTGTAACTTTATTTAACTTTATCTTCTCAACAACTCATTGAAGTAGGTACTTACTCCCCATTATACAGACAAGTAAACTGAGGCATAGAGAGGTCACATCACTTCCATTGGCCAAACAGCCAATAAGGAAATCCAGGACTCGGCCACCTGTGTTAACCCACAGCCAGGCCCTGGTCTACCGGTGGGGATGGCAGAATGGCAGGCCAGGCCGGGTATATTTTAAAACAGACTAGCCCCTCCCCACCCTGACCAGAAGTGATCTCCAAAGCTCATTTCTTTAAAGGAAAAAAATTTATATTATAATCTCAACTTTAGAACACTATAAAAACATATGTTCCAAATACCCCATAATCCTGCAAATTTAACACTCGGGTTATTTTCATGTTCGTGTTATCACACACCGGGTGTTCACCCGATGCTGATATGAGTTTGTGGCCTCCGAGTTTTATTTAACATCAAGCAAATAAGTCGTCTTAGCTAATGCCTGGTCATCTGGCAGGACGTCATCTCATTAGGACATCAGAGAGTTGGATGGGGGCCTTGAGTCCCTGAAGCCAACCCCACTTTTAAAGATGGGGAAACTGAGGCCCATGCCTGGCTGCAGCGGTAACAATAGTCATTGCTACCTATTGGCACTTGCCATGTGCCCGTGCAGTGGCTATATTAGCTTCCTATTGCTGCTGTCACAAATCATCACAAATTTGAAGGCTTAAAAGGACACAGACACACTGTCTTACGGTTCTGGAGGTCAGCAGTTTGGAAAGGGTCGTGATGAGCTCAAATCAAGTGTGTCCGCAGGGCTGGAGGCACTGGGGGGACCTGTGTCTTGCCTTTTCCAGCTCTTAGAGCCGCCTGCACTCCTTGGCTTGTGGCTCTGTCTTCCGCCTCCAAAGCCCGCAGCACAGGGTCCTCGGAGGTCTCGCTCCTGCCTCCCTCTTCCACCCTTAAGGACCCTTGTAATTATACCGGCTCCCCATTGCGAGGCGGATGGGCAGCCTGCATTCCTCGTGACCCTGTGACCAGGGATTAGGACGTGGCCCCCACACCAGCCGAGGAAGCAGATTCTGCTTTTCTGTTTTAAAGAGGAGAAAACTGAGGCTCAGAAGGGTTAAGTGACTTCCTGTGGTCACACAGCCGTTCTGTGGCCGTGCTGGGCCTCCACAAGGGCCTTTGTGTTCTCCTCCGTGTGGGAGGACAGTGCCAGGGACGGGCTCTGCCGCGCTGGGTCGGTGCCACGGTCGTCACGGGTCAGGGATGAGGGTGTGGTCCCAGGGGTGGGAAGGAACCTGGGGTCTGACCCACTGCGGGCTGCTCCGCCTCCCCTCTGGTGGGGGGAGTCACGCACTGGCCTCGGGGAGGTCATTGCATCTCTCCAGCCTCAGTTTCTTCACATTCGTGGGCGACTTGAGACTTCAAAAGTGCTTTGTCAGCAGCTGTCGCCCCGAGGGTGTGAGCAGCAGGGAAGGGACTCCTCTTTTGCAGGACGACGATTTGTCCCTGATTCCCAGCACACCGCTGGAGCACAGGGGGCTGTCGGCGGGGCCTCTGCCGACCTATGAGGATGTGACTCAAGGCACACACCAGACGATCAAAATCGGAGAGGAAGAGGTCTGGCCCGGGGCTGCCCAGACCCCCAGAGATCACCCACCGCCCCTTCCCCCGGGCCTGGACAGAATTCCCTGGGGGGCGGTGACCAGAAAGGGGCAAACAGAGCTGTTGCCACAACCGTCTGGTGGCCGAGATGGGGGGAGGAGTCCCACCCCTTCAGGCACCAGAGGAAACTCCAGGGCTCACCTCGGGGAAACCTTAGCACTCCACTTGCTGGGCCAGAGTTGCCTCAGCTGAACCGGGGCAGGACTAGACCCACCCGCCCTCCATAGCAGCCTCCGGCACAGACCCCTGGGCCCGCAGCCCCCAGGCACCCCCCTCGCCCTCAGCCTCCCTTGCCTGCCCTCTCCAACAGATGCCGGGCCCACAGGCGGCTGCGGGGGAGCCAGACGAGGTCCTCGGAGCTGGGGGAGGCACGGTCTCTGGGGGGAACTTGCGTGTCTGAATCCCTGGATCTGGGGTAGGTGCAGCTGGGGAGCTGAGTCAAATAGAATGCGCCTTTTTGCCTGCCTGGGCCTCAGTGCCTCCATCTGTAAAATGGGGAGGGCAGTGGCTGAAGCAGTCCAGGAGCCTCCCAGCTCGAAAGCTCCAGGACCAGGAGTCAAATTCAAGGGTCTGGTTGTGACGTCTGAGGGCACCAGCACACCTTCACCTTGGAATTCCAACCCTACTTGTGCTGGGTAAACCAGGGGAGGGAGAGAGACCTGCCTTCCTCCCACCCCAGATTCCAGCCGCCTGAGGATAGTATTTGGGATTTTTGCTTTTTGCAGACTGTACTGTATTCTTTCTCTTTCTTTAAATGGATTCGTTTCTCTATATGAATTTAAAGAGGCACTTTGTAGCAGCAAAAAATAAAATAAAATAAAAAGGGAAATCAATATCTTTCCATAAATAGAAGCTAACCCCCAAAATAGTATAAACATGGTGAAAATAAAGCTTGACTCCTGTCCCACCCCCGTGGTCTCACTGGGTGCTTCTCTTCCTTTGCTCGCTCCGCTCCAGCCGTCCTGGCTTCCTTGGCGTTCCACAGATGCCCCAGGCACACCCCTGCCTCTGAGCCATCACCTTTGCCCTTCCTCCACCGGGACTCTGTTCCCCCAGGCATTTGCAGAGCCCACTCTTTGAATCTTCACTGGACTATCAACTCTGGGCCAATAAATGTCATTTAATCTCGATGTCATTTAATGCTCCCATCCATCTATGACATAGGTGCTATTACTACCTCCATTACCATGCAGGCTCACAGAAGTTAAGCAAGTGGCCCGAGAGCACACAGCTAGTAAGTGGCAGAGCTGGGATTTGGCCCCAGGCTCCAAGCTGAAGTACCACCTCCTGACCATGCCCACACTGGGTTGTAACATAGCCCCTGCTCTCCTTGAGCTCACTTTCACTGGGGAGATGAGATGTGCACACACAAAGGGCTACCACAAAGTTCTCTGCAGCTAAGTTAGCCCTGGCTCTCGTGCTGTGCTGTTCATTTTTAAGACTGTCACAGTCACAGCCCTTCAGGGGCCAGGCGAGTGGCATAAATGAGTGATAACATGGGTGCAAGGCAACAGTGAGTGGCTGTCAACTGGAAGGGCTTAGTTTCCAAAAAAAAAAAAATAGACAAGCCCCATGAAACACAAAGATACTTCCAAGGACCACAGGTGTTTGCCCTTTGGTTTGTGCGTCACTTCCCCACTGAACTACAAGCTCCTTGAGTATGGTGACATCTTGCATGGTCTGTTTGTTTGTGTAATAAAATACAGTTTATGAGTTTATCCAGTTAAATTGAATTGAAATCAGATTTTCTCTCCCATACCCTTACACACACAGTCTTGGAAGAACAGTGAGTTGGGTGAAACCAACCAACAACAGCGACAGCTCTCACCGGATCTCTGTCATGGTCTGGGTGTGAATTAGAATCCCTAAAGAGTGGCAAAGTATTGTTGACAGCATTACTGCACTTCCAAATTGGCATCTTCATTCTCCTTGAAACTTTCTCCCCGTTCTGCCAACCCCAGCCTTCTTTGACACCTTTGGAATATTCTGCTCACTGGGCATCTCCATCTGAACATGTGCTAGAATGTAAGGTAGTTTTATTTATCCTTCTCTATTTCCACGGTAGCGTGGGCCGGAGGGGTGCCCTTGGCCAGAGAGGTGCACAGAATTGACAGAAATTGGGAGGGCAGGGGCTAGGCGTGATGGCACATGCTTGCCACGGTCACACAAGTCTGTACCATTTGTAGAAGCCAATTCTCCTCCTACTGACCAGCTCTGGCTGACTCCTACCCAACAGTGAGGAATATCCCCAGCCCCTCCTGCCAACTCTGACACCTGCCCCTATGCCCGCAATAGCATCACCCACCGGCTGCCTTCCCCCACTGTCATGGCCCAAACAGGTGGCAGAGAAGTCTAGAAAAATAATCCCTCTAAAAATAGAAAGAGTTAAGGTGGCAGCGAGCATGAAGGAAATGGCAACGGCTGACCTGCAAGGAGCAGCGTGGCGCTTGCCACAGGCTGGATGGGGCAGTGGGCCTAGGGCTTGGGGCTCCTTCCCAGGCTGCCAGCGACAACCATCACCTGCCCAGGTTCAGACATGGCCCTGGGCAGATGTCACAGTTGGCAGATTTGTACAGGGGTGTAGCCATTTCTGCAGGGGAGAGGTGGGCATCTCAGAAGGGCCTCACGTCAGGGCCTCATCTCAGGCTGTTTGAGACAGGTCTACAGGTCCCACGAAGTGAGCACAGTTTTAAGCCCAAGGAGCTCACCCTGCGTTCGTTGTCCCTGCAGCTGCTGCGTGTCTGGTGGGAAGGAAGGAAGGAGCCAGCGTGTGTGCAGCCGCCCCTGCGTGCCAGGAGCTGTGTGGGGCGTTCTGCACGTAGCATCCCATTTAATCCCCCCAGATCCCATGGGATAGGTACTCCCTGCCCCCACCCCTTGAGAGGAGCAAACAGAGGCTCAGAGGGGTTAACTGACTTGCTCAGGTGTGGAGTTGCAAGGTCAGTGCAAAGGGCTCGAGGCCAGGAGACCTCACCGAAACCGAAACCCGGCAGGGCCCAATGGACAGGAGGGTGTGGAGGGGCGGGTGTTCTGCACAGCCCCCAGAAAGATCACCTGGGGCGCATTAAAGGCGGAGATTCCCAGGCCCCTCCCTGGATAGTCTGGTTCGGAAAGGCCAGCGGTGAGGACCTGTAACTGTATTAGCAAGTTTGCAGGTGATTCTTATGATCAAGCAAGATTGGGAGACACCTGCTAGAGAAAGAAGAAAAGGGAACGGATGGCAGGATTGTGCGGAGGCTCAGCGGCGGGCCTGAGCGACGCTGGGAGGGGCGAGGAGGTGCCCCGGCTGCTGGGCAGAGAGCCCCACGGCCAGAGAAAGGCCAAGAGCCTCAGGCCTGCAGACACCAGGGCCTCCCAGCTCTCTGTTCCTAGGGTCACCTATAATCGGAGCTGTTTTTTGCATCGTGTTTTGCTTTTAATGTCTCCCACCTTTGCTTAGGGAGGCAGCATGAGACAGCGGAGGAAACACTGGACATGGGGTCAGAAGCTGTGGGTGCAGTGTGGACCCAGCTATTACAGCGAGTCTGAGCTGAGCCAGCTGGAGGGGCTCCACGCCCGGGATGTTCAGTATGTGAAGAGGCCAGGTGAGTGGAAACAAGCCACACACACAGGTGTAGGCTGTGTAGTCGGCGGTGGTATTAACTAGCCTGGCAAAGGGAAGAGGGGTGCCCTAACCCAAGAAAAACTCTGTTTTTGTAGCCAGCTGTCCTGGGTTCAGATCCAGCTCCTCTATTTATTAACTGTGTGATCCAAGCAAATTACTTAACCTCTCTGGTCCTCAGTTTGCTCATGAGTGAAATGGAGATTGGGTTTATCAAATCATAAATGCTTGCTGGTAAGTGTGAGGCTGTGGTAGTTGTCACGGGTCCCAGGCCTTTCCCCCACCTCTCTGTCTCATCCATTCCCTTTTACCTCCAACCCCCACATCCTCCCGGCCCCAGGCGGCAACTTCAGTGTGTCTTAATGTGTGTTGTTTTGTTGTGAAATGTCTGGTGTGCACGTTTTTACATTTTTAATTTGCATAAATGATATTGTGATGTCTCGTTGTTTCTCGCTTTTATTTCCCTCTCAGCCCTGTGTCTAAGATCTGTATGTCTTGCTCTCTGTGGACATCCCATGCTTTGCTTTTAGCTGCTGCAAGTTACACACACCCATGTTTTACCAACCGCCTCTCCTGGTGACAGAGCTGTACTTTTGGTTTTGAACTCCTGACCTCGAGCAATCCTCCCGCCTCAGCCTCCCAGAGAGCTAGGATTACAGGCGTGAGCCACCGCGCCTGGCCTCAGAGCTGTACTTTTGGGATGAGAAAACAGACCCAGGAAATGGGGTTCTGCCCAAGAATGCTCCTCCTCATTCTCGGACCACGGACGTGTGCACTGCAGTCGTCTGGGATGACAGAGGCCAAGACCCAGGATCCCAATTCGCTCCAGCAGGCTTGAGGCAGCCCAGCCCCCTGCCCACCTGCCCTCTGAAGCCAGCTCACCAGAGGCGACAATCCTGCAGCAGCACTCAGTGATGGACCCTCCCCGCAACCCCAGGGCTGCCATGGCACAGCCCAGAGGAGCCGCCCTGGAGAATGCCCACCCCAGCAGGGAGGCGCTCTTCTCCTGGGGACAGCCAACCACCTTGGGAGTAAGAGGGCCACCCAACCTCTAGACCCTCCCCTTCCCAAGGCAGACACGAAACAGTCACTGCCAGTCCCAGCAGTGACAGGGTCAGCGGGATTTACAGGGCCGAGGGTACGGAGCGCAGGGAGGCAGGGCAGATCTCCTGTGTTTTCTGTGCGTGCCACCAGCTCTGAAAAACAACAGGGCTGGGGCTGCCGCTGCCTCCTTGGGGCGCCCACCTGAACCCAGGATGAGGGGGCAGCTCTCTCAGCAAGCCTGTGTCCCCCTTGCAGGCCCCAGGAGCTGGGAACATCCTCCCAGGGCCACTCTGGGGTGAGTGGTCAACTTCCCTCCGGTTCCCCTCTGCTTTCCTTTTCTGATGCCCCACACCTGTACCCTCGCTCTTCCTGCCGTGCCCGAGCCGTCTTTGTCAGTGGTGAGGCCAGCTCGTGACAGGCTGTGCCTGCCGACCAGTGCCATGGACGTGGGCAGCTGAGCAGAGCAGGGGCCCAGCCGGGCGTGTGAATCCCAGCCCCTCCGCTCACGGCCAGTGCGGCTCTGAGCCCCAGTTTCCAAAATGGGGCTCTCTTGTCTTGCTGGTGAGCATGGAGTGACAGGAGGAACGGAGGGCACTGGGAGAAGCTGCTCCTCTTGGGTGACAGGAGCAGAGTATTAACGGCGAGGCCAAAGGGTTGCTCTCAGGGTCAGAAGCCTAGGAGGGTGCTGGTCACACTGGGGAACAAATGACCACAAACTTCCGGGCATCAGAAGAGGCTGAGTCAACACGGTGTTCTGCACCGTGTGCAGCATGGGAGGTGGAGCGAGGCTTCGTGCGTGGGCCGAAACGGCTCTGGTCCCAGCTCCGGTCCCACCTGCTCCTCGGAGCAGAGCACGCTGCCCCCAGCGTGGTATTAGGAGTGCCGAATGGCTCGGCACAGAGCACGCGTAGCGTTCACCATGCCTGACGCCTTGGAGGTAACCAAGGTTGGGCTTGATGCAGGAGATGGCCCTGGCCCAAGGTGTCTAGGCTTTTGCAAACCTGGGTCCCCAGCTGGGGACTGTGAGGCCTCCTTCTGGCCCTCACGGGCTGGAGCAGTTGGCCAGATTCTCACTGTGTCCAGACCTCTGTTTCCTTAGGTGCTAAGAAAGGCAGTGAACGCAGGTTTGTTTAAAGTCCCTTTCGGCAGATGCATCTGCACAAAGGTTTGCCCAGCC